TGCATTTTGAATTCATGGTTGGAGTATCTGCTTATATGATGTGTATATTGTATCGTTCCTAAGGGGTAAAAGTGATATCTGATTCTGAGTTATGACTCGAGGGTTTTAACGACAGGTATTTGGTGTTCTACTGCCGATGAATATTTGTGTGAAGGGCTCTCTTCGGTATAGCCGATTGTTGGAATAGACTTTCTACGTGCGTATGCAATAAGTATCGGGATGATCTTAACAGGGCATCATTGACATTCATTCCTTGAGTAATGTACCATGTTGTATGAATAGTCACCATTAGGAAGTCGGTGTTTGTGAAAGAGGTATTACCATGGTATATTACCATCAAAATTTTTCCTAGGTTGGGCGGTCGCAAACGCTGGAAGTGAATGGTTCTAAGGAAAGATGATCTGAGGATGAGGTTTAGAGATGAGATGGTGGAGTATGATTGCCAATACAATAACGGAAGGCGTATGCTGGACGTTTTTTTGTGATAGGCAGAACCCAGACCGGAGCAAAGGCAACTCATGATGCCTTATGCGAAAGAAGATCTCAGTATGACCCTGCCCGTCAAGGGGGAAGATGGGCTCGAGATTTCTCTGCCGAGGCGAGTMAGGGAGGGAGAGTACATCTCTTCCTAGTGGGGTGCACCGATAGGCAAGGATATTTTTKCCTGGATCGAGTCCGGCTTTAATGGTGGCCAGGACTGTGCGATTGTAAGAGTGATTTTGCATGCGCCTTCTTCGTTTTGGGCGTTACATGGGATTGAGCTAGCGCTTGGGCATGAGAGCCTGTTGACGAGACCTTTGAGGGTAGCTGAGGAAGCTGCATCAAAGTAGACGAATGAAGAGCTTGTACTTCCCTCAGCCCCTTTACGAGTTTTCCTGCCAGAGTTCTTGATAGAGGCATGCTTTGGAGGACAGGCAAGGGTGAAAGCCGTTGCAGAGGCCGTCATGAAGGTGCGAGGATGGGAATATGCAAGGTACACGTGTGAGTTGATAAATGGGTTGTACCTGGATCGAAGGTTTTTGCCCCATAGCCAGGACCTTAGGAACCTGATCACGGTAGTGGACGCTTATGCAAGTTCGCACGACCCCGATGAAGGGAGCGGAGACTGGGAGGAGATTCGGGCAGCAATGGGCCGATAGGGAATGCCTTCTTTCTCTACCAAATGCGCTTCTTTTGACTTGGTTGGGATCGTCTCTCTACCCATTACCGGTGTTATAAAGGTAAGCGTCAGGGTAACTAGGGGTTGAGGATTGATTGCATAAGTAAAAGGGCAGATAGCGTGGTTTAAGTGTTAGCAGTTTGCCTTTGTCTGCCTTAGCTTACCCGAATCACTGTTTGATGGTCTACTGCCCGCTATGCGTATCAGGCTGCTGTTAGCATCATGGCGGAAGAAAGCGGCTTCGCTAAGATCCTGTGTTGGAGGAATTCGTGCCAAATGAAGGTGTTGTTGCGCGAGGCAGTGCAGGAGTTGATGCCTCCAGACCTCCGTGCTCGGTTGTTTCAGGGAAGAAACTTGCCCAACTTTCTGCGTAATTTCTGGGAATTTTGCCTTATGAAGAAGTGGAACGAGAAGGCGAGGTGGTACATGTTCCCCTTGTTCGTTTGTGAAGGACTAAGCGAGGAGGTATATGCCCTCAAGCCGAAGGCGAAGATGAGGGGTGAGTTGGAGAGTTCCTTGAGGTTAAGATTCCCAGAAGATGGAATAGAAGGCCAACGTGGGGAATGCTCTGTGCAACCAGCTGCGGGCGCACCATCGCAGATGGAGATAAGTGGTCTATAAAGACAAGTAGGGGCATTGGAGGAGAGGTTAGCACGGCTGGAGGAGATCAGGAAAGGCAAGCTGAAGGCTTCAGAAGATTCCCCAAGTAAGCCAGCTGGGCAAAGTGGAAAAGGGATAGAGGAGGATGACCGAGAGTCACCCCTCTCGATAGGAGCCCCAAAGAGACGAGCCGGTGTTCAGACGAGGAACAAAGGCGAAGGATTCGTTGAAATAAAGGAAGAGCAGGATGCTAATATGGCCCTGCCTGTTATTGCGTCGGATCCAAAGAGGGGGCTCATTAGTGTGGGAGCACCCTCGGCTGCCGGTCGGGCGAGGCAAAATAGTGGGTGGTGGCCAGAGCACTGGGTTAAGGTGGTATGTGATTGTTGGGGAGAGACTAGCCGTACTCCGCAAGGAGGTAAAGAAAAGGGTGTGGCGGGAGAAAAATGGGAGTTTGGACCGCCCAAGTTGACTAAGGCGCAGCGAGAGGCGAGGAACCTCGCTCGGAGCGGTCAAGCTACCAAAAAGGGGCAGAGCTCGCGGCAGGTAGCAATTACCCCGYGAGAGTTGGAAGGTGAAGCAAGACCAAGGGGGCCTCCATCGATCGAGCAAGTTTTGCATGGGCAGTGGGCGCCATGTAACCAAATGAGCTTATGGCCGGCATATAATTCTTACCTACCCTGGGCGCCAAGTAATTATACGGGCCCGTTGATGAACATTATACCCCATGGACCCCCGCCAGTCCAACTCCAACCTGTCGGCCCGTTGCAGCCACCGATACAACAAGTTTTGCAGGGTAGTATGGCAGGTGGAAGGGACCGTGGAGATGGCGGGCGTGGCCATTCGGGCCGTGGAGGTAGTGGACGCAGCAATAGAGGTCGTGGAAATGACAGGCAAGGCGCCGAGGGTCGCCATGGGAGCGAGCGAGACCATAAGTGGGGCTCAAAGAAGAAAGGGGCATGACGGTGCTGAATGAGGTGGTTATCAGAGTGAGTCGGGTGATGAAGGGTGCGGAGAGAGTAGATGAGACGACTAGAGCAGAGAAAGTATAGCAAGGAGTGTTGGGGATTCGCCATAGACCCAAAGTTGGGAGACTGTTGTTAATCATTTGCTTAGATCCTTGGATTCGTCGCGAGTAAAAGCCTAATTGAACATGCGTTGATCTGGAAATTGGGATGCGAGGCTAATTGTCGCGCGACCATAGCCCCCATACTAATTGGTAAGGGCTAGTTGCATAGTACCTGGGTCGGGACGAACATACACTTGGATGTGTGTACGTGTATAGGCGGGATCCGGGGAGGGGTCCCACAATAATGGTCTGGTAAGGTGACCTAGGATGAAAATAGTTCAACCATATAGGTGAAACCGGGAGGCAACGAGTGAGTGGGGACTGGTTCGCCTATGCGTTTGTAGGATCARGTTTTTCTGTATGTAGGGAATGAGCTAGATACGTGCATGATGACTAGCTTGTCCATTTGGACATATGCAGATTATAGTACTGGACGAACCAACTGTACCCCCCCTCCTCTTGATATGGCTTAGACGGTTATGTCCAGATGTGTGATATGTTGGCGTGTTGGGATAGATTTGCGTGCTTGGAGCGTTTGTGTATGTTTGGATACATTCCGAGAGACTCGTGTGTTCGGGACATGAGTTACTCAGCGGAGTACGAATACCCTTACAAGGGTATCCGCCCTGGTTTTTGCAAGCGACAGAAAATAGAGTGGTTTAAAGTTAAGTATACCGCGCTAGGCGCGGCGGTGGTTGTGATTACGTTGACTGGAGGGCTACCTAGAGTAAAGAGTGTGTCTGCGCGCGGTTTTGAGGCGCGCATGATTCCGTTTTTACCGTTGGTTATAAAGCCGGCGTGGACGCCGGTAGGTTCGTTTTTATTTTTACCTTTATTTTTATTTTTGTTTAGTCATGATTAGACTAGGATTTGAGGGTAATTTTTTTTTGTTGGTATGCTTGATTGGGCTACGCGTGCGTATGGCGGACGACTTCGACGGTGGCGACGATGGCGACAGTGTGACTGCGGTAGGTCTTGGCATGCGAAGTGGTACGAGTGGCAGCCGTGGTATAGCTTGGGTAAGTCGGCGTGAACGTTGGGTCGCGCCGCCTTATAGTGGGTTCCGCGCATGAAGGTCCCAGGTTTGGGCTTGGCCCTATAGGTTATGGTATTGGATTTGGGACACGGAGGTACGGGGATCGACGCCGACGGGCGACGGCGCAGGGGCAGCGGAGCAGCAGGGAGTTGAGGGGTTGGGGGTCCCGTGGGACTATCCCCCTTTCGTTTTGGCTAGGGATTCCGATCGTGGCCCGGTCCGCAAGGCCAAGGGGGCGCTGGCAAGCTCTGCGGTCTGTGCCACGGCAGTCGCATCTTTTTATGTTGGGGCCCATCCTAAATAATTATTATTATTTCCTTGGTTTCGGGCGTGGGCTGCTGACCCGCCGTGACTTTAAGCTCGAGGAGCGTACCCACGGACTGTTGGAATACGACCCGCGTCAGGGCCAAGGAGTGGTGTCTGGGGAATAGAACCGAGGATCCCGAACTGCTGAGCTAGTTAATTGGAGTCTAGTGCCCCCGATGCCGTCGTGCGGTCGAGCCGRGGATTAGCGTGACCCCTGTGTGGGGGTGGCACGCATAAATCATGAAGCGGGGGCAGGCTCGGGCACTTGTTGCTGCCATGGGCTGCAGCGCATGTTGGGGCACGTCCCTGAGCCCAGCCCCGAAAGGGGGCCAGCTCCATGCGGAAATAGCAGAATGGGGTGGGGTAACACTGAGCCATTAAGGATTTGGTTCGATACAGGGAAGATCTGTATGGCCCCTACGTGAGGATATCGAATGAAAAGGAGTCCGGGGATGAACCCGGACGCGAACCAGGCTAGGTGCACGCAAGGAAGAGGGGAAGACCGGGTGGCCTTTGGGAAAGCCGCGGGGCATCGCCCGGGCCACGCCCTTCGGGACATCTGTTGAAGGCGGAACGACACARAAAAGATTAGCTCGGCCCCGGCGCGGGCGCGACAGGTATAAATCGGGGGAAAAACTCCGAGCGCCGGCTGCTGTTGCTTCCGTTCTTTTCTTCAACTGTGCGGCTTGGGCGGGTGAACGGGATGAAGGATTTAGACCCTCACGACACTTCGAGTCTGACACTTGAGTGTCATAAGCGGTACTCGGATCCACGAGGGACCGCTTGACTATGAGCACTACATTGTACGTCATCATTGCGGCTGCTTGCGCACGTTTGCATTGCGAGTCGGTATGAGGTAGCCCTGCGTCCGCGCGGTTTTATACTAAGTCTCGCGCGCGGCGGCTATCCGATTTCTGCATCAGGGAATTATGGGACGGCTACCGAGGGTCTAGGAGCGTTGTCGCGTTGTTTGTGTTGTATCGTTTCGTATGTGTGTGTGTGTGTGTTTTATATTTTTTTGTTCGTAAAGTGGTGTGCGCGTGGTGTGTGGGATGCGTCCTAGTCGACCGAAGACGAGCCTTGCTTGGGACTTCAGCCCCCCAAGATGTCGGTTTGTGTGCGGGCCCGATAGGCGTATTACCACGCATACCCCCTATGCTACAACGAACGAGAAACGCCCTCGGCTGGTCCACCTCTGCGACTGCAACTGATTAGCTTTCGTACTGTGGACTGGTAGCTCGACGGGGATACGCCCACCGAAGGGAGGTGACAACTCCCGTAAGGTGGAGGTAAGTTGTGCCTCGCGTAGGCCCTATTCTGTCGTAGGGGCTCGCGAGAGGTATGGCTGGCGCACTCGGCCGGAGTGGCCTAAGGAAGCTCCATTTTGTGTGTTCGTGACGATGTTGATCCAACTCCTGCGTGACGCGGCCGAGAGGGTCCCGCGCTGCCGCGTGTGGTGCCGGACCGATGCGCTCGGCAACGGAGGAAAGTTGTTTGACCAGACGGCTTGTTTGTCCTTTCTTTTCTTTCTTTTGCCTGTCTGGAGGCGAGCTTCGTTCCACTTTATCATTGCCGTTAAGCTTTCTGGCCATGTTTTTAACCCTTTTGGTTGGCATTCTGTCTATAGTTTTTTTTGCGTTTGGTGACTTACTTCCGGGCATTCGGTCCGCAGATTCTTCTCTATCTGAAGTTGAGATCACTTCTCGGCAATCTGCAAATTCTTCTTCCGGGGAGGAAATCCCAGGTAACTGTCTGGAGGTGGTCACTCCCTCCAGGTCCTTGCCTGGAGTACTCATACCGTATGTGGCGTTGTCATATACGTTGACCGGATTCGGGCCATCGGTCATCACCATCAGCCGGATCATGACTCCCTCCACTTCTTCCTCCTCCACATCCTCCTCATCCTCACTCAAAGAGAACGAATGCTCCCACTGGAGAGCCTTGTCAACTCCACTGTCGTCCTTCTCTTCCTCCATTTCGTCCTTTCCTGTATCCACCTCATCTTCCTCGTCTTCTGTCGAGTCTTCTCTCTGTAATTTTTCCACTAAATCTTCCAGCTCCTCTTCCGGCTCCTCTTCCTCCTTTTTCCGTTTCTCTCCTCCTGCCCATTTATCCTCATCCATTCCGTCCCAAGCTTCTTCTTCACTCTTTCCCTTCTCCTCTTCTGTCAACCCTTTCATCTCCCTTCCAACTCCTTTGACGTCCATGTGTGAATCCTGCTCCGGGACTACAGGTTGCCCTCCCGAATTCCGCATATTCTGATCTTTCTCACCTTCCTCACTAACCGTAGTCATGTTTCCCTGATCTTTCTTCGGGATATCTACCCGCTCGTTCCCGTTCCCTTTCCCGTTTCCTTCCTCGTGCTCAGGCTCAGGGGGGAGCGGATTCTTTCCATTCGTCGGATTCTTGGGAGGGGACTTCTCTTTCTCTCCATCCTTAGCTTTCTCACCTGCCGGGGAGGGGGTTTTGGTTTTCCCCTTTTCCCGGTCTTTTACTTTCCCCGCTTGATTTGAATCTTTGCCCTTCACCTTGTCCGCGTAGGACGTCTCTTTCCTTTTTGGGCAATCGGGGTCGTCTTCGGAGTGGAAGTGTTGCCTACAACGAGGGCACCATGGCGTCGAGGCACACACTACTTCTATGTCCACCTACCCATCATTCCCCAGATCAACCACCAGATAACGTTTGTACCGTAGTCTCGCTGCTGACTCTAAATCAAAACGAATATTGACGAGATCTGGTGAGGATTGGTCTTTGTAGGCCGAGAGTACCCTGACCACTTTTCCAAACGCGTCCTCCACGGCACCAAGGAGCGGAACAAGAGCTGCGACCGTGACCAATTGGCATCGTATCCAAAAAAACTTATATCTCGCCACTTCCCGCCACTCCCACAGCTCTTGTTCCGTCATCCATGGACGGAAGGACACCGTGTACTGCTTATTATCCAACGTGATTTGAGCTTCTCCTACTCTCAGCATGTAGGTAGCTATCTCCTTCGCGGACGCGACATAGGTAGCGAGATTTCTCCCCTCGTTATGAAACAGGCCTCTTTTGGGGGGGGGCTGAAACTTCACCTCCTGTTGCCCACCCGTTCTCATATAGACGTACCAACCGTTTTTGACATCAATAGGCACAGAGGTCGACTCGTCACCAAAAAATATCGAGACTGCGTGCTCCCGTAGCCAGTCCGCTTGAATCCGGTATACTTCCGGGTTTACAGTTACCTTAACGTAATCGTCTCCCACTTCAACGGTGTTGGGAGCTAGTTTTTTCGGTAATACCCCATCGACATAACACTTGGTCAGGATTCCGCGGATCCGCTCTTTCTCCTCCTCCGAGTCGGAGGAGGAGAAAGAGCGGATCCGCGGAATCCTGACCAAGTGTTATGTCGATGGGGTAGTCGGAGGGGGATTTGGCGGACCCGAGGGCATAGCATCCATAACCTCGTCTGAACTGTCGCTAGCGAAAACACTCACTAATCCCTAAAACGAGCCAGGTGCTTTCAAACAACTAAAGACCACTCGTACTATTCAGTTACCAAATAATTTAAGACACAAGTTACGTTGACAGAGGCTTCGACAAACAACAGGATAAACCACTTCCCCTTGCCCAGGTTCTGTTGCTGGACTTCTTACCAACAGTGCCGGGGCCGGATGTCGGACACTGTCGTCGATTGCTTCCTCTTCGCCCTGAGCCTTCCTCAGGTTACTACCTGCTTCCGTCGAGCGTGAAACTGTCTAAGCTTGAGGATGCATGGGCGCCTAGACCTACTCTGTCCCCCGAATATTCCATGGGTGGAGACCCACCATAGATGCTATGGTGAGAATAGCCTCCCTTAGTCTCGCCAGCCTCCGAATTACCGACGACGACGAGCTTTCGGGGAAAACGAGACGAGGTCAGACCATGCTATGTTCCCGCCGCTGTTCCCAGCGGAGGTACCGCGGAAATTAGCGAAGCCTGATGCGCTGCGTCGCTGATCGCCCCCGCAGTCACCTAAATTTTCGAATGCAGAAACTTTGTGGGAATGGTTGTACACCAGTCCATCTAGGCTGCTGATACCTCCTAATGCTCTTGTTGTTGTTGTTGTTGTTGGTATCACCATTGAAGCTGACCGGACCCAGGTAATTCAGAGTTTTCAATTATGTTATTCGGGGCATCTGATTCAAAGGACTGTATCTGGATTCGAGCTTGAATCTGCATTTCAACATTTGGTGCTGCAAATCTGTTTACCCTAAGCCGACCTCTCAACACAGGCTTTGGTGTAGTGGACTATCTATTTATAGTATTTATACCCCTCACTCAGGCCCAGCGGATCTGCACCAGGTCCTCCCTGTTTCGGACGCCAATTGGTTTAAATTCTAGATGCTGATTGCCAGTCAATTGAAGAGCAAGCACGAGGCTGGGCGTGGCCACACGGCAGACGAAACGAAAACAAAACGACTGCATGGGCCATCGAAAGGTGGCAAAAAGCATCCAGCGGCCTAGCTCAGTTGGTAAGGCACGCAAGTGGCATTCAGGAGGTCTTGGGTTCAATCCCCATTGCCGTCATGTACCTTCCTGGGCATGCTTGGCGCCCGCCACCTAGAGATAGCCCGTTGGTTGGCATTAAAAAGCAGGCTCTGCTGATGCTCATAGGGGGAGGGGTAATCGGGGAGTTATAGCTACTGGCCACTCAGATGATGCTCGATCCCTCTGCCACTGGCTGTCCCCTGGCCGGTGCCCCCCGTTGGGGGTTCCCTGATCAGGCCACCCTGGGCTGAAAGGCCACCGTTGTCAGATTAGACACAAGATTGAATTTACCTGGGCTGGTTAGTCCGATGATGATACCTCAAGGCCATCGCCCTTTTTAAAAAAAAAAAAAAAAAAAAAGGTGGCAAAAAATACACTCGTTACTATTTATAGCAAAAGTGATGAACGTGGGCATATTCTTAGAAAGATGCACTCCTTTTCGATATTCGGTTCGTGTGCCGTGTGGAGCACAAGTTAAAACGGGAGCACGGAAGCCGGAGGAGCACCAAAAAGCTTTTCTTGACCATCTTCGGGACAAATTGGAACGATAGAGAGAAAGAAGATTAGCATGGCCACTGCGCAAGGATGACACGCATTACAAACCCCAAAAAAAAAAAAAAAAAAAAAAAAGGCCTCTTCTTCCAGGATGACGACAACACAGCGCGAAAAAAAGGCAATTTCACTCCGCCTCCAACATTTTTCAAAAAACGATAGACATTTAGCCACAGTCCAAATGCACTACGTCGAAGAACACGGGCAGATGCGGACACTATATTAAGTAATCTGCTCGCGCAAGCCCTGAAGACATCGGAGGTAAGACAGATTGCGTGAGGCAGGCAGAGTGAGAACCGCAAACTTAAGCCTAACGATCAGCATGATGTCCCATCCTGACCGATAGACAGACCAGACACACTGAGAGGAACGGACTGCTGAATACACAGAGCGACAGATAGAAAAAGACGACGTCGACGACTCAGCCACACCGAGAGAGAGTCGGACGCGGCAGCGGTGGGCAGCAACACAACACAACACAAGTCCTCAAGAAAGAATCGAGAACATAAACTTTGTCCTCCTTCACGCTCTCAAATGAAACAATCCTGCATCAAATCTTCTATTCTATACTGTGATACGGCTTGAGGACATGCACTAATTAGACCTGCAATATGCAGACCTCGCAGTTCTGGCGAATGACCGGACGTTGAACCATCGGAATTTTTGGAACCGGGACGACGAAGAGGGAAAGTTCGTCCTTGGGACAGACCGACACGGCCGTTGGAAGCCTGTGAAAATCGCTGGACACCACAGCGACGTCGTTGCCTTTCCCGCCCTTTGCTGTGTTCCCACCCGCGACACGCCCGGCGATGGCGGTGCGACAGACGCGCGCTTCCACATACGAGCCCACCGCCAGCGCGCCGCCGGGGCCGCCCTTCGCCACGTTCTTCGTGAAGTTGCATCGCGTGATGAGCACCTTCATCCTCTCAGGGTACGGCGCGTATGACCCCTCGATGAAGATGCCGCCGCCACTCTTTCCAGCCGTGTTCGAGTCCAGGGTCACGCGATCGAAGACGTACCTCTCCGCCCGTGCGTCAATCAACACGGCTCCACCATTCCCTCCCGCCCTGTTGGACCTGAACGTGGTACGGACGACTTTCCCACTGCCGGAAGTGGAGAGGAGAAGGGCGGAGCCGTGGTTGTTCTCGAAATGGCAATGTTCGATGTGCCACGCGTTCCCTCCATTGCCGACCGAGACCTTCGCCTAGAACGGAAACTCGACTCCTTTTTTTTTTCTTTTTTTTTCCGGGTTGGTCTAGAGTGTGCACTTGTTGTGCCAGGTTGGTCTGGCTAGTGTAGTTTGTAGGATATTCCTAACTTCTGTTGCTGTGCTGTCAGGTTGGGCTGGCAAAGACTTGTGTCAAAAAAAGAAGAACAAAGAAAAAAGAAACAGGAGTAAGGGGCTCGCCACACAGCCTTTCGAACAGAGGCATTTTTCGAAAGTTGTCGGATGAAATTCGAAAGCCCGCCGTTCAAACCGCCCCCCCTCCCCCCTCTCCCCATCTTTGAATTGTTTTTCTCTCGGGGGAAAAAAAAAACCCTTCGACTTTTTTTTTTTTGGGAAATAGCATAGTTTCCTTATAATTGCAAAAGGAGGCCGGGAATCCCTCCACATTTCAACCCGGGAAAGTCACCAGACCTCCATGAGGCTTTACTGGAAACCGGGTCCAGTGTCCCATGCTCCTTACGATAGACATGCTATTTCTACAAAAAGGGGAACTGGTCCTTCTCATCAGATCTATCCTGGAATTTCACTGGACCATGTCAATTCATCAACAGAAATACTCCACACCCTGGCCATACTGCTATCTAACACTACTCCGGGAGCATTACCCGACTGTACTTCATGAGAGTCTAAAGCCGACTCCCCCGAATCTTCAGCCAATGACCTCAATTCAATCATAGTATCCAATCCTATATTCATGCTTGCCTAAATCGGCGCCCACTGATACCGCTACTAAGCTCACTTCTTCAACCAGCTGCAAATGGAGAGTTTACCTTCAGGAGATATCTGTGCCAGCCGGTTCTGCGAGACCCAGGTCTTGTGAAACCACAACCAACCTTTCTGTTGCCAGTCCGCAATCAATGTCAATCTAATTCTCAACTTTATCAAATTCTTCAGCTGGTCGAACCCCGTGTCCTCGTCTCTAAACAGCTTCTGATTTCGTGCCCACCAGATAACGCCCATGATAATGCCTCTGCAGACCTGAGCTATGACCCTTTGACTTTTGAAACATTCGTCGGCGTGGAAAAGTTTTGGCCATAAAAAATGGCCGACCGTGGTTGGAAACATTCTTCCTCGTTTCATTGGGACCCCACCGCAGGCCGATAGTTTCGGCATTGGAAAAGTTTGGGCATCTCGAATAGGAAATTGCACCGGGGTGTTTCCCAAAAAGGCAAGCCCGGCGGGGGCTGTGGTCCATGGTCTGCTTGCGCAGCCAATGAAGTGTCTACAAAACGCCACGGCGTCCAGCCCGATCCTGGAAACTGTTTTCCATGCTCCCCCCCCGACTCGTTTGGAGCCGTCCTTGGAAACTGTTTGGAAACTCGTTGCCAAAAATTTCCACACCGCGAGCCGAGTAGAAACGCCCCGCCAGCTTTTCCACGACCTCTTTCCAACCGCAGTGGGGTATGAAATTCCTTTCCGGGCCGACTTTCCACGACGGTTTCCAACACCTGTGGGGTCTGAAAAACACTTCCTCGCCAAAACTTTTCCACGCCGCCGGCCAGTGGGGTCCAAGCCTCAGAAAAAAAAAAAAACCTTCGCCACACAGACTTCCGAAACATTTGTCCTTTCAAATTCCGGCATTCTACTTCCCTCGTGACAGGTGGGCACACCTCGACAAAAATGGCGGTTGTCAGGGTCACTACCCTGACATATGGTCATCGTGAGGGCCCATTTTCACAAGACCCGATTGAGGCTTTTGAGTTTCGGGCAGTGACAGGCCGGAGGGACGGTCCTCTTCGAAATGCTTTTCGAGTGCATTCGGACTGACACGTGTAAAAATGTGAGAAATGCGAGTTGGCTCGAAAGGCTGTGTGGCGAAGATGGAGGGCCTCGCTCCACCACTCTCGAAATGTGCAAAATGATACTGAATCTTCAGCTAGAACAAGGAAAGATACATCGCCAC